TTACTTTCTACTTAACATATAAGAACGAATGCAATGATAGTTAATTCTAAAAACGCGACGAAGAAAGTACTTTTAGATGACAGGTCTCTCTTACCAAAATGTAAGCAAATGTACGTATGACCCTTTAATAAAACATTTAAAAAACTCAGGGGCCACTAAACACACCTTTGGGAGATGAACATGGGGCAGCAGGAGAAGGACCAAAGGAAAATAGGTGCAAGAAAATCAATAAACACTTCATACAAGAAATTCAAATGACCAATAAATATGTACAAAGCACAATTATATCTTCAGGCAGAGAAATAAAAACTCAGAGTAAAAAAGACACGTAGCGAACTGGCAGAGATAATATACTGAAGGTACCAATGACACCTTGAATACACCACAGCATGGAAAGACTATAGCTGGAAAACCATACTGGACTAAGTATCATATGCATACCCCAAAACCCAGTATTTTCCTTACAGTTCCTAGGGAAAGTTTTGCACATACAGAATTCATGTTCATAATAACAATGCTTACAATGTTGTTGTTGTTGATTGCCTTCAAGTCAAGCATGACTCATAGCAATCTTCTGAACAAAATGCCTGAAACCCCCTACAACTATTGACATTTATCAAAGTTTATAGTTTCCTGAAGCATGTCATTTAAGAAGTGGATGCCACTTTTGCTTCCAAATCTGTCATAATATGTTATTGCTGTTATATGCTGTTCTTTGAGTTGCCTGCGATGTACAGCAGCTCTGAACCCTTCCCTGTCCTGAGCCAGTCTCACTAACTCCGACATACAAACCCCCATCATCCCAGTTAGTGTATCAATCCATCTCATCCAGGGTCTCCCTCTCCTGCGCTATCTATCTGTATACCCCTCTGAGCATGATGTCCTTCTCCAAGGACTGATCTCTCCTGGCCACATACCCATAGTAAGTGAGGCAGAGCTTTAAAATCCTAGCCTGTAAGGAAAGATTTGGTTTCACCCTCTCTAAGACAGAGCTATTTATTTTCTTGGCAGTCCTTGGTATGTTCAAGACTCTTCCCCAACTCCACAACTTGAAGGCACCTATTCTTCTGTCATCCTTAGTCACTGTCCAACTCTCTGAAGCATAATACATAATTGAGAAGACCAAGGCCTGGATTAGGTGCACCTTTGTACCTAGACAGACATTGTTGCTCTTCAGCACTCTGGAGAGGTACATGACAGCAGATATTCCCAATGCAATTTGTATTTCGATTTCCTGACTGCTGGTGCTAAGAGTGTTGATTGTGGATCCGAGCAAGCTGTAATTAACAACCTCGATCTCTTCTCCATCTAACATGGTGCTGCCAATTGGCCCAGTGGTGAGAATCTTTGTCTTCTTGATGTTGAGCTTCAATCCATATTGAAGACTACAGTTCTTGACCTTTTGCAGTAAGTGCTTCAGGTACTCCTCAGATGCAGCAAGCAAGGTTGTGTCATATGCGTATCATATGTTGTTAATGAGTCTTCCTCCAATCTTGATACCAAAATAGCAATGAAAAAACAAAACAACAAAAACCCCCAACAAACAAAAAAGCAAAACAAAAACCCTCCCACAACACAATAATTATTATAATAAAAAAGTAAAAAGTAAAGAATTGACAGTAATATATGAGTACAATGTAATAAAAGGATGAAAATTAAACAAGCTACAGTTGTATATAATATGGATATATTAAACAAAAGGGCCAAGAAGGAAATAAGCCAAATAGTATGCTTTCCATTTATACTGTATTTAAATATAGACATTATTCATTGCAAATACATTTTCTAAGAAACACAAATGCAGATTATACACATGGATTTCACCTGATCTGTGGAAAGAAGTGCTGGAGAAGCTAAATATTAGCTGTGAAAACTAGGCCAGACCACAACTACTCATATGCAAGTTCAAGCTGAAGCTAAGGAAAATTAAATCAAATCCACAGAAACCAAAATATGACCTTGAGTCTATCAAAGGGGCTAAACTCTCGGCATTTCTTAAGCTGAAGGAATTAAAGAATAAATTCAAGCCCTGAGTTAACAATACTAAGGATGCTTTGGGCAGAATATTAAATGGTCCAGGAAGTATTAAAGGAAGATGGAAAAAGTATACAGAGTCACTGTACCAAAAGCAATTGGCAGACACAGAAGAATTTCATGAAACAACATATGAGCAAGAGCCTGTGGTGATGAAGGAGGAAGTTCAAGCTGCTCTGAAAGAACTGTAAAAAAAATAAGGCCCCAGGAATTGATGGTATAGCAATTGATATTTCAGCTAAAAGATGCTGCCCTGGACGTGCCGAAATCTGGAGAACAACCACTTGGCCAACTGACTAGAAAAGAGCTCTGTTTGTTCCCATTCCAAAGAAAGGTGATCCAACAGAGTGTGAAAATTATTAAGCAATATCATTGATATCACATTCAAGGAAGATTCGGTGAAAATTATCCAAAAATGACTAGAACAGCACATCAACAGAGAACTACCAGAAGTGCAAACTGGGTTTAGAAGGGGTCGTGGTACTAGGGATATTCTAGCTAAGGTTAGATGGATCTTGGCTGAAACCAGAGGAATGTCTACCTATATTTCATTGATTATGCAAAGGCGTTTGACTGTGTGGATCACAACAAACTGTGACTAACTCTAAAAAGAATGGGAATCCCAGAACACTTGATCATGCTAATGCAAAACCTAGACTTGGACCAAGAGGTAGTTGTCAGAAAAGAGCAAGGAAACACTAAATAATTCAAAATTGGGAAGGGTGTACTCCAGGGAAGTGACTTATCTCCATACCTTTTCAACTTATATGCAGATCAGATCATCCAGGAGGCTGGCCTCTATGAGGAGAAATGTGGCATCAGGGTTGGAGATAGACTCATCAACAATCTGCATCATGCAGATGACACAACCCTGCTTGCTGAAACTGAGGAGGATCTGAAGCACTTGCTGCAGAAAGTCAAAGACTGCAGCCTTCAATATGGATTGAAGCTCTATATCAAGAAAACAAAGCTGCTCACCACTGGGCTGATTGGCAGCATCATGATAAATGGTGAAGAGATTGAGATTGTTCACAGCTTTAGTTTGCTTGGCTCTACAGTCAACATTTTTGGCGCCAGCAGCGATGGGAAAGTCTGTTAGAGACCTAGCCAAAGTATTGAAGAGTAATGATGTCAGTCTGGAAACTAAGGTGCACCTGATACAGGCCACGGTCTTTGCAATTAATTGCTATGCATTAGAAAACTGGACAACGACTTGGGATGATAGAAGGAGAATTGATGCCTTTAAGCTGTGTCAAATTAGGCTGTTCCTTGGAGGCAAAGATTCTGAAGCTTTGTCTGACATACTCTGGACATGTTGCAACGAGGGACCAGTCTTCGTGGGTGGAGGGAAGCGCAGGAGAGGAAGACCCTCGATGAGATGGACTGATTCAGTGACTGGAGTAATGTGGGTAGGTATGTTGGAGACAGTGAGATTGGCACAGGACAGAGCAGGATTTAGGGCTGTTGTAGACAGGGTCGCTATGAGTCACAGGCTACTCGATAGCACAAAACAACAAGTATTATTACTTAGGGATATGCTTATGTGCAATGAAATTATTTTTAAAAAGAAGCAAAGCTATTACTGCAGGAGTTCTATGAACAATTAAATTTACAGAAAGAATTACCCTAGGAAGGAGATAATGTGATCAGGGAAGGGCAAACATGACTTCTGGAATGGTCATAATGTTCTTTTTTTTTCACTTAGATGATGGTTACAAAAATATTGGCTTTAAATCAGTTCTTGAAAGTCTATATAGGTTTCATATACTCTTCTGGCAATAGAACATCCAGTGATTAAGTAATGTTGAAAGAAAGAAGCAAACTAATCAATCTACCCACTTTAAAATTCTATGTAAGGCTAACTTGCAAAAAAAAAAAAGTTAATCTGCCGTCTTCAAAAGACCAGATGTGAAACATCAATTTTTCAAGAAAAAGAGGTCCAAATGGGAAGGAAATCCCTTCAAGATTTAGTGTACTGAACTGGGTCTGAAGCCTAAAGTCAACTATGACAAATAGAAGGTGTATGTGGAAAACATTTATAGTTGCATAAACTAAAAATCCTTAAAGGCTCCAAAGGAACTTTGTTAGGCCTCCCAGTATATGTAATTACATCTTAAGCACACAATTATTATTCCCAGCCTTCCCTCATACTAAGCATTTAAAAAACCCAGTCATTTTCTTAAATCCTCAATCCTCTATACTCAGCTTTCACAACATAAGTTTTAATATATATTTGTACTTTTAATTCAGTCTTATGTTTATTGCTTTTTCTGAATTCTCATTTCTCCAGAAATTAAAATCTTAGGTGACATATGAATCAGTGAAATCATACTGGTTCTCTTTATAAACTCACATATATAATACATCCTACGAATTTTGCTATGAAAAAAATGGAATTTAATTTCTCTTCTTTTCCCCATTAACTATGTAGAAATTTAAAAAAAAAAAAAAGAGTTCAAGGTAAAAATCATATAAGGATAAAAAAGCACTTGCGCTCTCTGTAAAATAGATGAGAAAGTATGCTTCCATGATGATTTAACTGTGGAAATCCTATGGGACTGTCTTATAAAGCTGATATGAATTGGAGTCAACTCAATGACATTAAGTTGGTTTGGGGTTATACTGTATGCATATAATCTATTCATGTAACTACTACCCAGATAAAGGTGCAGACTTAAAGCTACATTTGAAAGATGGATGCTTAGAAGCGTAGAGGGTCAGTGCAGGAGAGAAGACATAGGATAACCTGAACTGATACAGTGACTTGACAATGGGGTCAGGTGTATCAGAGATGGTGAGGTTGGCTAAGAATAGGATATGGTGCACAGCCATTGTTCACAGAGTCACTGTGAGTCTTAAGAGATTCAAGGGTACATAATAACAACAAACCAACAATGAGAAAACAACTAGGGGTAGGGGGCATGTAAGAGACTTTCAGTTTATGTAGTTAAATTTCCTTTTCATACCTCAAATTCATCTTGAGTACTCTGAACGTTGCACCACCTGGCAACAGGTTCTGGAACCACTTCCCAATCCTCACAGACTTGTTTAAGAATATTCACAAAAGTTGACTTTCCTGCAGCTGTTATTGAGAGGAAAGGTAAAACCACATTAGAAAACCTATCAGGGTAAAACAAGGTCAAAACTGTTACTGGATTTTGACAAAATTTGTTACAGAACTATTACCTTTCAAAATCAAAATAACAATGAACTTGTAAAATACTATACAACATGGATGTGTCTGGAGGACATTATGCTGAGAAGTATCTCAGTCACAAAATAACAAATATGGCATAAAACCACTGTTATAAAAATAGGATGGACACACAGGGGAGCAGTACCACCGTTTCTTTTAAATAAAATCTATGTGTTAGGAGTGCCAACTCCCTTTAGATTAATGACATCATGAGAGCTCCTTAAGAGTTTAACATAAAAAGCAAATAAGTTACATGATTCACTCATTCATAGCTATCTAGTCAGACCTAGCCCCAGCAAAATTGTGTCATGTACACTTGTACATTTGTTTCCTGTGGTTTTATAGTTTTGCAATGCTGTATGAGGGAGAAACTTAAACCAGGTAATTATCAACTAAGTTGTTATAGCGGGGGGTGGGGGAGACGACACATGACAAAATCCTACTTCTATATTTACTTTCTTTAACCCAATCACTTAAAAGAAAGAATTTTGTGAGAAATGCTTAAGGGTATACTTTTTAAAAAAATTCATTTTAATGAAAATTAATTTTAATTTTAATTTTGACTTAGGGTTTCTATTCATTCATTATTGCACTTTTCCTCTGCCCACCCCTTCCACCCCCTAATTCACAATTCTCCTTTAAAAGTAAAACTCTTTCATTGTTATGCAATCCCTCCCTCCAAATCCACTCCACTGTGCAGCCTTCATTCTGGACTCCTGTCATGACAATAATACCTAATCATATATCCCTTTTTATATCTCTCCCTCATCTGTTTCAATGCAGTATACATCATTCCTCTCCTTCTTCTCTGTCTTCTCTCAACCCCGATGTCAGTCCCGTTTTACAACAGTGACCCTATGCAATATTTGTCCTTTTGTGACTGAGATATTTCACTCAGAATAATGTTTTCAAGGGTCACCCATTTTGTATATTTCATGAGTTCCTTGTTTTTCAATGTTGCATAGTATTCTATTGTGTGAGTATACCAGATCTTCTCTATCCATTCGTTTGTTGATGGGCACTTGGGTTACACAGGGAGCTGTTGTGACCTAATGGCGAGAAGCTGCACTGCAATCCCAAAGATGCGCAGTTTGAATCCACCAGATGCTCCGCTGGAGAGGGAAGGGCAATTTCCTCCTCTGCCAGTCAGATCTGACTCAACAGAACACAACAATAAATGCACTTGTTATATTGTTGGGTGCCATCAAGTCAGAACCAACCCATAGCTGACCCTCAAATGGGTTTTCAGAGGCAGTTAATCACAAGGAAGAAAACTGCCCATCCTTCTCCCTTGGAGCAGCTGATGGATTCAAAACACGTGCTTTTAGGATTGCAGCGCAGCTCTTACCATAGAGCTCTTTTAAGAGTACACTTATTAAATGTGTGAGTTCGAATAAATTACTTAATCTCTCTGAATTTATATTTTCATAATATAATGGTATACTCCCTCACAGAAACTGCAGTGTTGATTAAATGTGATTAACAAATCAACCATCATTACAGTAAATGTCATTTTAGGTTGTTACATATTTAAAATTTTCCTCTTGGATGCAAATCTAAACAGCAATGGAGTATCAAGTGACCCAGCAACAACAGCAAAGTTCAAGGGACAGTAAACAACAAATGCTAGCAAGGGTATGGAGAGATCGGGACTCTTATACGCTGCTGATCAGAATGTAAAATGGTACACAACTACTGTGGAAAACAGTTAACTTCTTCCATAAAAGTTTAAAACAGAAATAACATTTGATCCAGTGATCCTTTTACTGTTTACCCCAAAGAAATAAGATCTTTCACCCAAAACAGATATATGGCTATTCATACTCAGTGAAGAATTATATTCAATAACAAAGACTTGGCAACAACTTAAAGAAACTCTGGTACATTTACACAATGGAGTGCTACTCAACACTGGAAAACAATAAAGAATTCACTGCATAACATGGATGCATCTAGAGGACATTATGCTTAAGTTAAAGAAATCAGTCACAAAAGACATATATTCTGTAATACCACTGTTACAAAGACCTTAACAAAGGTTTACCCATAGTATCATCCGTGGATGGTTGTCAGGGATGGAAGGAAGTATGGAGTGAAAATAAGAAAAACGTAATCTCATTGTCATCAAGTCTCATAGCTGACTCAGCAGGTTTATGGAGCTTATAAACTGCATGAGTAGAGACTGCTCATCCTTCTCCTTTGGAGGTGCTGTTAGATTTGAATCGGGAGCCTTTGAGTTAGCGGTGCAGCTCCTGATGGACTATGCCACCAGATCTCTCTAAGCAGATAAGAGACACATAATAAGATGGCTAAAAAGACAGATAATATCCAGTAATGATCACTAAAGAAAGAGAAGAGCTATAGAAGGATTAACAGAAATCAGAAATCAGAAAAAGTAAGGACAGCATGACTACATTGTGGGTTCCAAAATTAATGTTACTGAATAAAGTATGTATGAATGGTTGAATGAAAAATTCATTTGCTTTGTAAACTTTCATTCAAAAAATAAAATTTTTCTCCACTAAGTCCATTAACTTAGTCTACAAACAAGCTTTGGTCTTCCTTAAAATGAAAACAGCCAAAATAAATTATAAAATCAACATAAAAATGCATTTAACGCCTAAGATTTTAGAATGAGGAATGGTGGTATTACAACTATTATTATATAAGTACTCCACTACTAGCCTAGACGTTGTTAATTTGGAACTGCCTTCAGTGACCTGCTCCTTAAAGGTTACAGCCATGAGAATCCTATGGAACTGAACTCTACTCTACAATTCATGGTTGTTTTGTTATATGCTGTTAAGTCAGAATATACTCATAGCTGATCCTCCATTGGGTTTTCAGTGGCTGTAACCTGCCCAGGAAGAGAGTGGCCATCTTTCTCTCACAGCAGTTAAAGGATCTGAGCAGCCTTCCTTTGGGTTGGCAGCACAATTCTGAACTACTTAGCCACTTGAGCTTCCTCCTCTGGAGTCAAGAGTCACATGAAGTCACAATTAATAAGAATCTACTAGACAGCAACCTCTGCTTTAGATTTTTTTTTTTCGAACAGGCACTAACAGAAATTATAAAACATTTTTTGCAAAGCTCTTCCTATGCGCAATTAACACAGTTTATCTGCTTCACTTTTACAGTTCACTGTGTTCTCTATTCAACCTAAAACCAAACAATATATACACTTCCTCTCCTTGATCATAAAAAAATTTATATACATATGATACATATATATAAAGGGAGAACAGACGTTTCTATGCCATCAAAATGTATTCTGTTCATTATTCTAAAATTATAGAGCCCTGGTGGTGTAGAATTTAATGTATACTATATAGGGCTGCTAACTGAAAGGTTGGCAGTTTGTACCCACTAGCCATTCCATGGGAGAAAGATGGGAACTCACCTGTGAGGACTTACAGCCTTAAAAACCCAATGACAGGCAAGCTCTGGTGGCCTAGTGGCAAGAAGGTGTACTGCAATCCTAGAGGTGCACAGTTCAAATCCACCAGATGCTCTGCTAGAGAAGGAGGAGCAATCTCCTTCTGTACCAGTCAGATCTGATTTGACAGTACACACACAAAATAATAAAAAAAAAAAAATTTAAAAAAAAAACAACCCAATGATAGGTGGTTATGAGTCAGAATTGACTTAGGGGCAGGGAAATTTTTTTTTATTCTAAAATTACCTCTAATGCATTACATTTAATAGGAGAAGCAGTCTTGACCTAGAATAAACTGGGTGTAGCAATACTTCTAATAACTATCACACCCTCTTAATCTAAACTCACCAAATGTTAGAAATCTCTACTGATCAGCCTAAGTATCATACACATGAACACACACATATAGACTAAAATGAATAAGCAATTTTAGTACATTTATAAACAAAGCCTTTTCTTCCTTATAAGATGAAACTAAACCTAAACTGCTGCCATCACTCCATTAGAAGTCAGAGCGATCCTACAGATCAGAACTGTTCCATAGATATTCCAAGGCTGTAAATCTTTTCAAAAGCAGAATGTTACATTTTTCTCTAGTGGAGCACTTAATAAATTCAAACCACCAACCTTTAAGTTAGAGCTGAGCATTTTTAACCACTGTGCTATGATGCCTCCTTAAGTGGAACCAGAAAAGAGCAAAGAAAAAGGGTAGAAGAACTATATTAAAACCTGTGACTTTCTACTTTAAATAATCACAAACCTCCACCAAACCCAAGGGCACCATTTCACATTAATAGTGACCCTATAATATAGAGTAGCACTGCCCTGGGTGTCCAAGGCTATAAATCTTTACTAAAGCCGACTGCTCATCTCTCTTTCCTCCTTCAGATTAGCATCTGAACGTTTCTAACAACTGTACCACTCTTTCCCTATTTACCCAGAATAGAAAAAAGTGGGTAAACAGGAAGCTGACAGAGTTAAGAACGGTTGAGAAAGTACAAAAGTCAGTTATCTCTAGAGGAAAGGAAAAAAAAAACCAAACCAAAAACCCCCCAAACAACTTCAAAGCAAAACTTGATGAATATTAGGTTTAATTACTGGGAAAACTCTGGTGATCTCAGAGTTTGTACACAGAAGGTAAGAAAGCAGAACTGTGAGGAATTTAGACTAAGTGCAAACATTCAAAACGATCACTAGTCACTATTAAATGGAAGAGTGTAACATGTTCAAAAAATCAGGCATCAGCTAGAGTCTGAAAGCCCTTAAGGACAGAACATTCACTTGCCTTTTCATTTGCAATTATAAGCATCAAGTTCAAAATATGGTAAAACCTACTTAAGCTGGAATCTGTATAAGGAGGGAATCTATCAGAGAAGGACAATTCAAACAATACATTAACTACTTAGAATCCCTTCAGACAACTTCTGGCTGCATTTATGTCCATGGTGTT